CAGTGAGACAAGTTCTTTTACACCAAAAAACACTACAAAAAATATTGAAAAAAACATTTATAAAAGAAACATAACCGTTCCTTCAAAGAAACACTAGAGCAACTTGAAATAATATTAATCCGACGAATCAAAAATATAATAAAACCCTTCAAAATATGCTCGCACATTTGATAAAGTTGAATTTACTTCAAAACGTATTAGAGACTGTTGCCTCTCAGTTTTCCCAGTCGTTTAATTTTTGGGCAATATTAGCATGATGTTTTTTTCTTCGACCATACTTATATCTTCTCTTACAGGGTAGAAAAAGCAGTTGTCAGATCGTCTCATTGTGGAACAAAACCAGGTGTCTCATAGTGGGACTTTTTCCATATTTTTTTAAGAAGTTGGCAAAAATGTATTGTCTGTTTTAAACATCCCTTGTTTATACAGAATCCTAATTCAGACATGCCTAAACAATTCCGGAATTTCAAATTTATAAAAAAACCACCTATTTTTATTTAATCACCAATTGAAATATCGACTGTGAAAAAAAAATTGATTTGATTTATGGTAGTCACTAAATAAGCTTAAAATTTGCGAAATTTCGTAAAAATTGTAGGAGCACATGCAGAATTAGTTAATATTCGACGATCATATTTTGTAAACTGAATCAGCGGGCAGTTCAAAAAGTTATTTCGAATGTTTCATTGTGGAACATGTCTCATTGTGGAACACTTTCCCCTACAGGTGAAAGCTGCAGGTAAAATTTAAGGTATGTACTTGCTTTCTCTGATAGTATTTTTAAAATTTTTAGAACCAAATATACTCTTGGACAAAATTATCTCACTACTGCTTATGGTGATGCTTATGTGCAGTGGTGCGTTAATTTTGTCCAGAAGTATATGTTGGAGACGGCTCAACCAAATATAGACAAACTATATAGTTTTGGAATCGGGAAATTGTGCCCTTCGAGAATATAGAACCAAAAATAGGGCATCCCTTTTGAAAAAGCTGAAAGAATGCAACACTTCACATTTCTGACATCCAATTTTTGTTTCTGACCATGGACTCTAAAAATTTAGCCAATACCTACTGTACAACTTTTGTATTTACACCTTTCATCTACTTGTAAAGGTGAAGGCTGTAGGTGTGGTGTCAAAAAAAAAAACACCCGGTACTTGAACAATAACTTATTATATAAAGTCAGAATTTGTAAGATTATCCACTTTTTCTCAATTTGCCTTTCAACAGGAATTAGTAATGTTACTTTACCAAAGTAGTAACATAATGTGACAAGTTATTCAACTACAAACGAATGGATTGTTGCGGAATTTATGGGTGGACCTCTGCGTCAAAATTTGTAAGATTATGATTATTCACTTTTTGTTAATTTGCCTTTCAACAGGAATTACTAATGTTACTTTACCAAACTAGTAACATAATGTGACAAATTATTCAAGTAAAAATGAGTGAAATGTTGCGGAACTTATGGGTGGACTTCTGCGGGACGAGCGCAGCGAGTTCCGCAGCCATCTATTCATCAATATGTTGTTTAATTACGATACTAAACTGACTCACTCAAATGTGCGTTATTCTCATTAGTTTAAAAATTACACGTTTCAGGTGAATGTCTTACTTGAACAATTCAACAATATATTGGTGATTAGATGGCTGCGGAACTCGCTGCGCTCGTCCCGCAGAGGTCCACCTATAAGTTCCGCAACAATCCACTTATTTGTACTTGAACAATAACTTATTATATAAAGTCAGAATTTGTAAGATTATCCATTTTTTGTCAATTGGCCTTTTATCAGGAATTAGTAATGTTACTTTACCAAACTAGTAATATATTGGACAAGTTATTCAAGTACAAACGAGTGGATTGTTGCGAAACTTATGGGTGGACCCATCTATACACCAAAAGTGTTGTTCAAGTACAATTCTAACCTGATTCACTCAGTTGAGAATTTTTCTCATTAATTCAAAAACTACACGTTTCAGGTGAGTGTCTTATTTGAACAGTTCAACAGTATATTGGTGAGTAGATGGCTGCGGAACTCGCTGCGCTCGTCCCGCAGAGGTCCACCCATAAGTTCCGCAATAATCCACTTATTTGTACAGGGTGTTTTTTTATATATTGACACCCCACCTACAGCTTTTACCTTCACAGGTAGAAGAAAGGTGTAAGTGCAAAAGTTGTACAGTTTTGGCTGAATTTTTAGAAACCATGGTCAGAAACAAAATTTGAATATCAGAAATGTGAAATTTTGCATGCCGTATATTTCATTCTATATTCTTGAAGAGTACTTCCTGCGGAGTCTTCATAATCTTGGAAGAGAACTATTTAATGACAGTCTGCGAAGCTCAAAACGAGAATATTTACTGGGTATTTCCATATTTTCTCACTCTCTTTTATGTATTCAGTACTTGCTCAAACTAAATTCTGTCTGTCTCTTCTTTATTTTGCTGTACTTTTAGAGCTTCCGAAAGTTGTAAGTGAGGTACCTACGTACTCTCCCAGAACTTCTTCTGGGTTACTTTTCAGGCAATCCTTAATAACAAAGAAAAATTTAAAAACTCTCTTATTGAATTTATAAAATTTTCCAATTGAACTGTTTATAAAAATAAATATCTCGCTATATTGTCGTCTAGATTTTTCCACAGCATCAGACAAAATAAACACACAAAAGCATATTATGAAAAACGAATGACTTGGCAAATGAAAAGCAGGACAATTTCCGCCTGGAAAAAAATTCTAAATCGCCATTGGCAAACATGCAACAAAGGAGCCTTTAAAACTGGGATAGGTCAGGTCGTCTGTCCAGTTTGTGGGTCAACTTCCATATGGTAAGGCATACAGAAAAACTCAACAATTATGAGCTTAGCCTTAGATTTCTAAGTTCTTACTCGACTTTTTCGTTTCTCCCTCAGACGTTTTAGTATAATTGAATCTTGGACTTAGGACAATCAATAGCCTATTGCAAAAGTTGAGAAATAAGTAATTACAGGCTCTTGAGAGCCCTAAACCTAGTTACTAATATTCTATTATATAACTTTCAAAAACTTCCAATAAATTTTATATTGAAACTTTATTCTGCGATTTTAAAAATTTCAAACGATCAGTAAAATTGGTTTGCTGAAATCGTTAATGCTGTTATTTTAAACCAGAAGCGTATTCACGGCCAATTACCCGTCTAGTTACTTAAAACTGGTAAAACGGAAAAACGCATTATAATTTAAAATTAAATGGGCTATGAATAAGGCACGATTGGGATAAAGCCAATTTCATTTTTCAAATAGCTGTTCTGTTATTTATTCCATTGCAAAGTAATTAAGTGACTGGATACCTACATTTTTGAAGAAATTCTCTAGAAGCAAAATATGTTCTTCCACTTACTTATTATATAACTTTCCTCTCATGTCGTCAATTTTAACGAAAGCTCTTCCTTCACAGTCACAAAGTGTGTCCTTTATAATAAATTAAAATTAAATTTGAGTTTTTTAATCATATCATCCGGTCAAAGACAATACGGCAGTAAAGGGTAAAAAATTGTCACCAACGTTAAAAGTTTGCGAGCAATTAGATTAATAAATGATGATTTACAGACTGGAAATTCGGAGTTTGCTCTTATATAAGCTTAACTTTTTCATACCAAGTTGGCTAATACGTAATCGAACAGAAAAAAATATATCTGAATTGCTGTAACTGGTGGTGGTTTTGGTAGACATATCCATTTTTTTCGATATGGTGATGGTTCCAGAAGTAGAATTACTTTCTTCTTATGGTAAGAGAAGAAATTTAGTCTTTTTCGTGGATATTTTTCATTGTCTCAAATAGCATCATCCAAAGTTAGCCTTATTATCAGCAATTGATGAACACAATATATCATTTCAGCTAAATTTCTTGGGTGGAACTAACTTAGTTTTTAGCAGATTCTTGAGGTCTTCTTCAAACTCCAGAACACTCCACCCTATAATTCTATTCCCAGTTTACATGAACGTTACTATTCATTCCATCTGGACAATAAATGTGTATTTTTTCCTCGTATATTAATGACATTCGCAAAGAACAAATTAAAACTCCCAACACTTGTGCATACTGTTTTATTACCGTATATTTACATACAAATGTAAAAATGGTGTTGCTCAAAAAAGGTTTTCATGGAAATGCGTAGTAACCTTTTTGCATTTGAAACGCTGTATCGTGGACCATTACATTTGTTTATTGAACATGTTGAGTATAATTATTTTTCTACTCAACTGTAGCTATGCGTCCACTATAAATAATCTTAAAATTTACTGGTGCATAAACATCACATTAGGGAGCGATTACAGTTTTCGTCTCTGACAAATGAACGCAGCAGGAAATATTCGGCAATAAATTTCAGTGTTTCAGGCCTGAAATATCGCGAAATGCTACATTTAGGAGAAGGCCCATTTATATGGATTTATTTTTTTAACAGGAAAAAATAGCCATATTAAAAAATAAAAAACAAAGTAATAAACTCTGATTTTCCTACAGCATGCACTTAAGGCAGGAGAAAATTTGCTTATAAAGTTCCATTTTGCATCGTTCAAATTATGTTATGTTATCCCTAGTCTGTTGTACCTGCTTACCATTAAAGTTACTTTATGTCGCCTACTATTTGCGCTTTAACCTATTTGAGCATAAGAAAAAGCTTTTTCATAACGATAGAAATGTTAATTTAGAAAGCCTTCTGAAAGGAAATTATATTCTTGGTTGGAGAAAAATAACGTTTTACGTTTTTTTATGGTTGTTTGTCTCAGCTATAGTGCTCCATTTTATTCCTTTTTGTTTCACATTACTAAAAAAAAGAGAAACTGTTGGATCTAAGGCTTCAGAAAGTTTCCAATCAAAAGTAAGAGGAGTTAAAGACTAAAGGGGGCAAGGACGCATTCATTATATAGCAGAGTTCCTAAAAAACATCAGGTGTTCGTAATTTCGTGTCCATCGCATTTTTTGACTGAGGCTAACATAAAAAATAAACATCCCATATCATTTCATTAAACGTTTATTTTTGACACATAAAACTTTCTAAAACCGTATTTTTATATACAACATACTACATACGTATATAAAATGATACATACGACATCGACAACATTCAAAACAGATCCAAGTGAAATTTGCTTATATTTAAGTAGACTTCTAAACTACTTCTGTCCTAAAACACACAGTAGATCACTTAAAATCAAACACTTTACCTATGGATTCAACATTATTGAGTAAAATCCTTACCAAAGCGAATAAGTAGGTATTGTCCTAATACTAGCTTCCTAATTCTTAAGTACTTATATCTAGTTAATCAAATAACATTGGATTAGAAACGAAAATCGAATATTGTGGAAAAGAAACATTAATAATTAAAATAATGGAAATACTTTTGTATCTATAGAAAAATTAAACATTATACTCTATGGCACAATAACTATAAAATGTAAAAAAGAAAAACATTCATACATTATTGAGAGTATCATTGTGCTATCTTTTAGTAGCTAAGTCTAGCTAAAAAATCAAATTGTTTCAATACATTCAGCGCCCTCTAGAAGAGCATAGAAATAGCATGTGGGCAATCGATTTATTAAAAAAATCTATAAACGCACTAACAATTATTGATACTATAGGATATTGGCAGTTATCAATAAAATTCTAGAATTATGGAATTTAAATATCTTCTTCATCGCTATCAACGCTGTCAGATAGAACTGCTTCATACACCAAGCTGAAACCTTTACTGACCAAAGTGTCGTCAGATCGAAAACGTATCAATAAAGCTTCATTTGTAGATATTATATCAAATGGTTTCTGAAAAAAAAACACCTTAAAATAAAAACCCTAGTTTTCTAAAAAAAAATTACTTTTGTTCCACAAAATTTGCCATAAGTTGGTCCGCTGGAATCTAATCCACTGAATATTTCCACAAAATCATATCCGCAGTCTTTCTCATCTTCTACGTCAAATGTTAAGAACGATAAATGAACGTTGTAGCCAGGCGGTGCTTCAATGGTCCAATCACAATCCGCTCTAAAAATATTCTTAATTGATTCAGCAATCTATAAAAATAATAATTTGTACCTGTTATCATAGCTGGAACCTCCAAACTTAGCATGAGAATAAATATGCTTTTTATCTTGCGTTGCTTGTAGCATTCCACCACACACAGTTGAATGAGAAGCTGAAAATCCATTTCTTTGAACACTTGCGTCTGACCTACAAAACATAATTTAGTTTGTTTGTATTATAACTCTTATAAAATACACTATTATAGTACCTGAAAGTCATATAAAGTTGATTTCCGCTAGCAACAATCATGTGAGGCAACTTTGATCCACAAAATCTTCCTAGTGAGGGAGATTCTGGTGAAGAACCGTCGTAGAAATCTACATGGTCGTAGGCGCATTCTTGATGTGGTTCCAATTCGAAGAAAAGAAAAACGATTCGTACACGATGACCTGGAGTCGTACTGAAGTGCCATACACAATCCTACAAGAATATTGAATAATCTAATATGGAGACAGTAAGTAGTGACAATAATTTTAATTAAATGTTTGGAGGTTGCTGGAAATTTGACCATCTTCAGACAAAATAGGTACCTTTCTTCCAGGATAATAATCAGGATAATTAGGACTACCCAAAGATCCTGTTGGGGTAGTTATTTCGTATTTGCAGCCGCCTTCTTTGCAGTCGCGACCATTTTCATGTAAAGTGTAACCGTTGTGGCACGTGCAAATGTAAGAGCCGAGGGTGTTGAGGCACTCGTGCTGACAGTTACCGTGGTCTTTAGCACACTCGTCCATATCTAGGAAAAGATAGGAGTTTTTAAGAGAATATAGTCAATTTTTCATTATGATTGTAGGAATTTGTATAATTTAAGTTTCACCTCATTCATTTTATTACTTAGGCCAGAAAGATTTGATTTGATCTTGTAATGTTTTAATTGAATTGACTCATTCAAAACCAGTTTCGAAAAATATAGATTAGACTACAATACTTCAAACCCGAGAATAAAGTACGTGTTTGTGAAACATTGCCTTTCTTCATATAAACCACAAAATAGTCTAGAAGTGTTAGCTGTTGAAGACAATAATTCAAATGTTCTTACTAGTGAACCTTGTGATTATTAGTACCTACAATAGAGATTCATTATTTATAGCAAGCTGCCTTCATTTGGAATACTACGACAACGTCTATTGGAAAAGTATTTTCAAAACATTAGATGAAGCTACTTTCCAAGATCATTCCCTTGAGTCAGCTCAGAAGCATATTATCACATAAACTTTTGTTGCAGAAATAATCCACAACAGGTTTAAACTTTTATTATTTCTAATTTAGTATATCTCAATCTCTATTATTTACCATAAAAATAATATGCTAAAAATGGATGCTATTGCTGGACTATTTATCCTGTAAAACCGGCAACAACAACCCTTTCAACCGGTAAAATTACAGGTTTCTTCATTACCTTATAAGGCAGTGAACCTTTCTCTCCGCTGTGATTGGTCAGCCGCCACACAAAATCCCTAGTTTTTGCGATCTGCTCCCCTGGCAGAGTCTAGTCGACGCACAATCTTCAGTAACATTAGAATAAGCGAAGAGTTCGCGCCCCCTGATGCTCTCCAAAAGCAAAAACCCCCGTTAGTACGCGCGATTTATAGTAAAAATACTACTCTCTACCAATTAACCCGTAATTTTTGCAAGTCACCTTGGACGAGCAAAATTCTCTCGTACGCGCTTGTCTTTTGGCTCTCTCTCTCTTACTCTCGACGGGCTCCAACGCGCCTGTATATCGTTGTGTTTTCTTTTCACCTCAGTGGAAAATTCCCTAGCTGCCAATGTGAATAGTGGTGATAAATGGATAAATAATCGCCTTGTGGATTTATCTGCATGAACCGGATTAAGCAAGTAAGACCGTTACAATTTCTCTCAGGTCCGCCGCTAGGGTGTTAGCCGCCTGTGTGCCCAGACAATTTCCGCCGCCTCACTCCCATCTAAAGTACAAAATTAAGAGCGTTGGAATGGAATATAATTTTCAACGTATGAGTCGTGGACCGTGGTAAAGAAGAAGGAAGAACCACACAAAAAAGAGTCGCGCATCTGTAGTGATGTCACAAGGGTATCTATCAGCGCTTGACAAGAATAGGGCAAACAATTCTCTTTGCTTATAACCAATCCTTGGTTTGTGTCAATCGTTCGTCGGATGTCATTATCTGTCTTTCTCCGTCTCTCTACGTTATATCTTTCTTCTCTCTCGTATAACAAAATTTCACAAAGATATGGGCATTGATTGCTGACTATACCGAATTACTTTCATTTATTAATTAAATTGATAATTATTTTATTTCAGCGTTTTATTTGTATAAATAAGAATCAAGACAACCCCTTACCCATAATACAAGGCTTAAATGATCCAATACCCAATGGTTAATTTTTACAGTCAGTCAAAGTAAAAACTTTTGACATCCCTGGTGCGGTTTGACTAAAGCCCAAAAAGGGGCAATAGCTAGTTCCGTCACAACTTTATCAATACTATTCGATCGAATTATCTTTTTCACTAGAATTTTATTCTGCCTGTAAGTATACCTAATGCCTCAGAAATACTATGACCTCTCAGTTCTCTGCCAGCGTACCAACTAGTCATGAAAACGCTTGTTAGGGAAAGGCAAATACCTATAGGAAACTATGCTTTTGTTGATTTTCCGAATGGTATGGAAAAGACACGCAATCCCTGTTAAATAATTAATATTCTTAAACAAGCTTTGGTTCCAAATTTATCCAAACAAGAATATATTCAGGTTCTTAAGAATCTGAAACATTCTAAATTATTTGACATTTCAACCACTACAGTTGTATTAATTATTCATTTAGTTTCTTGTTTACCTGAAAAAAATATACCAGCAAATCCAGTTTTCTGGACACTAGTGTCCGAATAAAACACCACCCGCATAATGTTGCTTTCTGACGTAATTAATCCTGGTGCTTTTGAGCCGCAATACGAGCCGTGTTTCTTTAATTTGCCTTCTTTGAGTTTGCTGAAAATGTCCACTCGATCGTATTCGCATTGCTGTTGTTGCGCATTGTTCCTACAATTTTTAATCGTGATTTTCCAATTCCATAATAATTAATAACGTACCCTTCTAGATCAAAGTGAGTAAAATTCAAAGTGATTTTGTATTGTGGTTGAGCTATAATTTCCCAAACGCAATTTTTGTCAAATGGATAAAAATCTGGAAAGGATGGTGATGTAATTGTTCCATTTGCTACATCGAAAACACCTCCGCATGCATCTAAAAACAAAAATTTCTAGTAATTCAAAAAAATCATAATTGAATCTTGCCTTCACAATTTTTTCCATCTGAATGAAGCTCATATCCAATTCTACAGGCGCAACTGTAGCTTCCCAAGTTGTTGATACACAACTGAGCACAACCGTGATCGATTTTGGAACATTCATCGTACTCTTTCATTATGGTAGCTGAAAATCCACCTTTTTGCACTGAACCGTCCGATACAAACTTCACTAGCATGCGGTTGGATGTGGATATGATGTCGGCTGGGACTTTGTGACCGCAGAACACTGAAATTTCAATTTAGTTGCATCCCATAATTGATTTTTTTTCTCTCACCTTTGATAATGGGTGAATCCAAAGTTATTCCATTTCTAATTTCCACATAATCGTACACGCAATTGTCGTGATTTTCAACGTCAAAACTCTGGAATTTTAAAGCTACTTGGTAGTTTTGTGGTACAGTGATTCTCCAAATGCATTCTTTATTTGGATGGTATTCTTCTGGATAGTTTGGTGATTCCAGGTGGCCTTCTGCGTCTATGAAGAAGTCACCGCCACAAACAGCTGAAAAAATTAGTTGATTAGGTATAATAAAAGTACCAACAAAGAAAATTGATTTTCCATACTAGATGTATCTAGATACTCGGGTCTTGAATGCCAGTTTTGTGATCAGGATATTTTTAATTTTTTGGTTACTGCGTATTTACTAAGCTCATTCGAATCATGTATTTTGTTTATTAAAAAAAAAAAACAAATCTTATTGTGTCTGCAGATTAAACATTGTTTCCTCTGATACCTCTACCAGTTTTAAGTACCTACCTAACTTACAGATTTTTCACATGAGAAATGTTACTCGTCAATTTAGTATTTCTGTGAAAAAAAAAAAGAAAACACGCGTAATCTTTCAAAGTGTCGAAAATATAGGTAGGTATAGGTACTTAATCTTAAATAAATAGGTATAAAGAGCTGTTTATAGAATGATACTGCCTTGAACTTTCTTGCATTTCAGCATAAAGTCTCTGATAAGTTTCGAATAGTTTGTCAGTACACGGAATTATTTTTATCAAAAGAAAATTTGCAAAACTAAAAATATTATTTTACCTTCATAATACGCAGTAAATCCTCTATGACCTTTGGGCCTTTTCGAAACATACGATACCAACATTCTGCTGCCTGTGGATGTTATTTGTGGCACTTGACCAGTGCCACAATAGACACCAAGGACGGTAGATTTGTGCCAGTATCCATCTCTGACCTGAAAAAAAAAAGAGATATGGATAAACAAAATTGCATTGATTTAAATTGAATAAAATAGTCACCTCTACGTAATCTTCGTTGCACTCTGGGGACTTTCCAATATCTAAAGCTGTAATATTCAATACAATTTTCTCTCCATGAGTTGCAGTGATTCTCCATTCACATCGTATACCCTCTTCTGGAATTTTATCGCTATGATATAAAGGTGGTGCAAATGTTGCAGAGTTTTGCTGGAAAGTTCTTCCACATTCTAAAAAAAAAGTGGCCAATAATATCATCATCTTTTATAAAACTTCAATCAGTTCTTACTGGGACATTTATAAAGCAAATTAGTTTGTGCAATATCTCCTTCGCTAAGTCTGACCCTCTGGCCGATTTCAGGTCTTCTACGTCCTGGCATATCAACCGGTTGGATAGTATCCAAATAAGTTCCTTTGGAAAAAGTATTTCTGGCATAGTGCATTATTGAGTCGTAATCGTAAGTTAAGCCTAACGAATTAACTTCTTCTTCGTTCAACTTATTGAAGTTATACTCCTGACCTAAAAGATTTCAATAAGGAATTTTACATATTTGATTGTTGTTTATAATAATACCGCTCATAATATTTTCTCTAATTATATTCACATGATTATCACGATCTGGTCGAGTATGCTCGTGCCAAAATCCTACCACGTGACCCAATTCGTGGACTACAATTCCAAATTTGTCGCAGTTTTTCCCAATGCTTATGGCTTGGCCTCCATTGCCACGTTTGCCAACAAAAGAGCAGCAACTATAGAGAGTTTTAATGTAATAATTTAATAGTTATTTACATTACAAGTGCGTTTATGATTATGATTACAATAACGAGTGTGAAAGATTACACGAGTTTTGTAGTCATGTTTAAACGCACGTGTGATTTTCAACGTTTTATCTACAAAGTGGAAAAAAAGGATGTTTATCTACAAGCTTTTGGTTATGACGTGTTTACATAACCATTTTTCTAGTATTTGAGTTATGTCATGAGACTCATAACACAAGTAGTTATGTTATGGACTAGGTTATGAATCTATGACACAACTTTTGGTGATTTGACAAATGTCAAAGTTAAACCTGTACAAATAGAATGAAGGTAGATAACTACTAATAAACGAAAATAATTGAGAAAACATTCTTATTTTTCGCTTTGTAGATAAAGCGATGTACTTAACTCGTGCGTTTAAATATGACTACAAAACTCGTGTGATCTTTCACACTTGTTATTGTAATCATGTTTATAAACGCACTTGTAATGTAAATAACTATTATCTACCAGCATTTGGTTATGACGTTTTTACGTGACCATTTTTCTAGTATTTGACTTATGTCATGAGACTCATAACACAACTAGTTGTGTTATGGACTAGGTTATGAATTTATAACACAACTAGTAGTGTTATGGACTAGGTTATGAATCTATGACACAACTTTTGGTGATTGGACAAATGTCAAAGTTAAACCTGTAAAGGTAGAATGAAGGTAGATGAATACTAATAAACGAGAATAATTGAGAAAACAATCTTATTTTTCGCTTTGTAGATAAAACGATGTACATCACTCGTGCGTTCAAATATGACTACAAAACCTCGTCGTTCTAATCTTTCACACTTGTTATTGTCATTATGTTCATAAACGCACTTGTAATGTAATAGGTATTTACATTACAAGTGCGTTTATGAACATGATCATCGTTCTAATCACACGAGTTTTGTAGTCATGTTTAAACGCACGTGTGATGTACAACGTTTTATCTACAAAGCGAAAAATAGGAATGTTTTTTCAATCATTTTCGTTTAATAGTCGTTGTCTACCTTCATTTTACCTTTACAGGTTTAACTTTGACATTTGTCAAATCACCAAAAATAGTTGTATTATGAATTCATAACCTAGTCCATAACACCACTAGTTGGGTTATGAATTCATAATCTAGTCCATAACACCACTAGTTGTGTTATGAGTTTCATGACATAACTCAAATACTAGAAAAATGGTTATATAAAAACGTCATAACCAAACGCTGGTAGATAAAGTAATTAATAAGGATTTTTGCTTACCCACATGGCCGTTCAGTGAAAATAATATAGTTCTGATGTTCGTCCCGATTTCTTTCGACAAATTTCACGCAGGTGAAATTTTCCCAATGTCTCATTGCCTGTTTGAAAAGGGCTTTGTGCAAACCACTAAAATTTCCATCTATAATAATAGAAGTTTATTTAGTAATTTTGCTATTATGGCTGTTACCATCTAGACAAATATTTAAGTTCACTTAAAGTGATTTCGGAAGTAGCCTTGAAAAGAAGAAGTCAACTCAGTGATTCGCATCTTGGAATTTGGAAGCTGACCAAGAATGCTCTATCATCAAACCAACAAAAAGAAGACCAGATGGTAAACTTTCCAGGAAGGTGAAAGACATTGTCACTGGAAAGAGAAGATTCTGAAGAGCACACGAACTTGCGGATTGAATTATAAAAGACTTGGTAAATATCCTTCTTGACGATGTTAGGAATGTAAGGTGTAACTAATAAAGAAATCACCGTATGGAAAAAGTTAGAAGCAACTCAGAAGCGAGATGACAATCATGCAGCATGATCACATTGAAGATCCAGATGAAGACTACAGTCGTGAGATTCAACCTGAGCGAATAGCAAGGAGTCTCCGCAATCAGGACACCGAGCCATGTATCAGAAATTACTTTATTCCTCAGGTAATTTAACAGATGAAATGTTATGAAAGCCTCTAGCTCAAACCAGTCTTTAATAAAATGATTAGGTAGATGCCAAGGAAATCTGTGGTGGCTTTCAACTAATTCATCTTGAAATTAGTCCACTCCTATACAAGTGCTGGAAATATGCGAAAGTAGTCACAAGCCGGAAAGTGCCGAATTTTCCCACGAAAATATTGTCTCATCTTCAGGATTATAATATAGGAAACTAAAGACCAGGAGTTGATTCCGGAAGAGCAATTTAGATTTACGGCAGGACACCCGACATAGTTACAGGCGCTCTGATTAGTTGAACACGTCACCAATGGATTTTCATGGAAGAAAACAACGGAATATGCTGTCATAAAATTCGAACGAGCTTCAGGCAAAGTCTGGATCATGATGAACTGATTCACAGGACGATTTCAAGCTGGCAAACTGGTTCAGAAGATGGGTCAGCACGTTCAAGAACAAGAAAACTGAAAGCAGGTGTTCCAAACTTTCACATTCAAGCTCACGGAGTTCCAAAGACATGGAGATTAAATGCAGATGATTGAGGAATCCTCGCACAGAGGAGAAGAAGCCCAGAATGGATCATAGAGAAACTCCAGGGTGAAATGGATCTGATTTTTGAATGGTGCGTTATTTGGAAGATCAAGATCAATCCGATGAAGAGCCTAACTACCCTTTTTCAGAAGACAAGGTTAGTAGGTAGTATTCAGGCATTCTGGCTCAAAACAGAGACGAGGCAAAGGGACACTCCCCCTACCTTTCAAGATACTACACACAATTATCCCCCTATGTTTTATGCTGGTTTTGTGCTGGATTTTGCTGGTTTTCACTGGTTTCGTGCATGTTTTCACTGGTTTCGGGCTGGATTTCACTGGTTTTGTACTGGTTTCGAGCTGATTTTTGCTGGTTTTCACAGGTTTTAAGCTGGTTTTGCTGATTTTGTGCTGGTTTTTACTGGTTTCGTGCTGGTTTTTACTGGTTTCGTGCCGGTTTGGCTGGTTTTGTGCTAGTTTCCACTGGCTTTGTTCTGTATTTTACTGGATTAGCTAGTTTTCATCTGACTTGGAAGGAGGATTGCTTGAGATCGAAGCTAGAGGGATAATTACAGGAAAATTGTAGCGATACTTTACCTACTATTTTAAAAGCGCGATAGGGGGATACAGGGCGCGGTAGGAGGATGATTGTATCTTGAGTGGTAGGGGGAGGGTCTCTTTGTCTCGTTTCTGTTTTGAGCCAGAATGCCTGAATATTATACCTACTAAGGATGACCCCACTGGTCAATGTTGACATCGAAGGAGGACATTACAAGGTCTAGGGAAATTAAGTACCTAAGAAATTGAAATAGAGAAAAAATACTTTATTCGATACATTTAGGAACTGATGCGAACCTGAATGCACATAATTTGCTTGATACATTTGTAACAATAAAAAAACATACCAATTTCATAAGGTATAACTCCATAATCCCAAACTCTCTCCTTTCTTGCAGTTGCAGCTCTTGTGACACGTCTCAAAGTTTGCTCGTCAGTTGATTTTCTTTTCAAATCAAAATGCGGCTCGAATTCGTGCACCGGAGTCTCTTGAAACAATGCCTGCAGCTTCTGGTTCGAATTCGTTTGTCTGAATTTTCTTCTTTTTCTCCTGTTTTGATGCCTTTTTCTTCGTTTGTGGTCCGCATCTTTAGCGGTTGTAGATGAAACTGGAGCTGAAGTCGATGACAAAAGACGACTGCCAAAGCCACCGTTTAAAATTTGCTTGTTTTTGTGGGACGTTGATGTGTACATTTTTTCGAATGGATCATTGTTACTTTTTAATGAATCGACGTTCGAAGCTTGTTTGGTTTTTTTGCGAATGTAATCGGTGAGGCCTTCTTCTTCGATTTGCAGACCTTCTAATACCTGAAATAAATAACTATATGCGATTTCTCAGGTATATAGTGAAGAGAGATTTTAATAGGTGTGAACTGTAAAGTTGAAATAGGTCTTAGTAGGTGAGTTTAAATAATGAAAACTGAAAAATGGCCAAACAAAAAAATACATACCTCTTGTTTATACTTTTCAACTTCTTCTTGTAACAACGAGTGTTTGATTTTTGGTTTCGGTGTAAACGCTTCTGGAATGGCGATATCACCCAAAAAGTTGCCTAAAATTAAACCAAAATATTTAAACAAATTAATTTTACCCATAAATAACTCAAAATCAACATCAGCCCAATCGGACCGATATATAGCAACAAAACGCTGCAACGATTCCGATGTTTGATAATTAAAATTCGTCCCCGAACATTTCGATTGCGATTAAAATGCCCGTCTAATTACGATCCGCGCTTATCTGGATTCATTAATCTTCACATGTTTAGCGAAATTTAATTGTCGACTGCAAACGGGACGGTTTATTTTGCAAATATGCCTCTGCATGGCTACCGACTGTAATAATAAATGTGTGTTTAGAGGCTTTACAGCATGAAGTTTTCGATAATAAAAATGTAGATATTGATCAATAATTATATTCTTTTACGTGATTACTTTTTCATATTTATGGTGTTTCTTTGAATTTATGAAAAACATGAAAGTTTAGACCTAACAAGCATGCAGGTCGAATATTTTGAATAATTCTTCAACATCCCTTTGAGAATTGATTCTTGAAAAGACAAGTTAATTATCATGAAGTTTTCATGTACCTAACTAAGGGCCGGTTTATCAATCAGGGGATAACTCGCAGAGTTTGCTGACCATGCGTGAATTTTAACTCTGGGCCAACTCCCTAGTTAAGTTGAAATGTGTTTATCCAAACTTTTTCAACCCAGGACTGCTAGACTCTCGGGTTCTTCAAAGGTTGGCATTACTTATGCAACGTTGCCAGCTCACTTTTATTTATTTCTTTTACATTTTCCGCTCATAATCTGAGGTGTTTTTCTTTGAAATATAAATATAATAGAGATTTCTTTTGCACATCTCATTTGTTAGAAACTGAGGGCCGATGACGGACTGTCAATTCAACAAATATAATAGAGATTTCTTTTCAATCAAGTGTCGTTTCTTGAAGTTAACTGTCAATAGTCACTTCTGTCAAATTGTACAACGAAGTATTTGTCAAATAATTATGCATGTGTCAATCCATGGCCAACTTGATGGCATATTTTTCCATAAAGTCTTTTGTCACTCTCATTTGTTAGAAAATGAGGGCCGAAAATGAGGACCGATGACGGACTGTCAATTCAACAAATATAATTGAGATTTCTATTCAATCAAGTGTCGTTTCTTGGAGTTAACTGTCAATAGTCACTTCTGTCAAATTGTACAACGAAGTATTTGTCAAATAATTGTGCATATATCAATCCGTGGCCAACTTAATGCCATATTTTTTCAGAAAGTCTCTTGTCACTCTCATTGATTAGAAAAGGAGGACCGATGACAGACTGTCGCAGTTCAACAAATAATAAAAATTCCTCTTAAATCAAGTTTTGTCTATTCCCGACCCTTGATGTTAACTGTCAATGATCACTTCTATCAAATTTTATAACAAAGTATTTGTCAAAAAATTGTGCATGTGTCAATCCATGGCCAACTTGATGGCATATTTTTCCAAAAAGTCTCTTGTCATTCTCATTTATTAGAAAAGGTGGGCCGATGACAGAATGTCAATTCAACAAATAATAGAGATTTCTTTTCAAATAAGTGTTCTCTATTCCTAGCTCTTGAAGTTAATTGTCAATAGTCACTTCCGTCAAATTGTACAACGAAGTATTTGTTAAATAATTATGCATGTGTCAATCCATGGTCAATTTGATGGCATATTTTTCCAGAAAGTCTTCATGCCTGTCATTCTCATTTGTTAGAAAAGGAGGGCCGATGACGGACTGTCAATTCAACAAATAATGAGGATTTCTTTTCAATCAAAAGTGTTGTCTATTCCCGGCTCTTGATTTTAACTATCGATGGTCACTCCTGTCAAATTTTTCAACGAAGTATTTGTCGAATTATTGTGCATGTGTCAATCCATGGCCAACTTGATGGTATATTTTTTCAGAACACCTCTTGTCACTCTCATTGATTAGAAAACGAAAGTCTATAACGGACTGTCAGTTCAACAAATAATAAAGATTTCTTTTCAATCAATTTTCGTCTATAGCCTAGTACTCATAACTGCGAAATTCGCATTTTTTTGACATTGCTTCGACAATTTGACGTTTGATACACGCATAAAACGTCAAATTGTCAACGCAATGTCAAAAAAATGCGAATTTCGCAATGAATGTCACAAATTGTACGTCACCACCAGTGGATTGCAAATGGACAAAAAATGATGGTATAACATTAGAAAGCGTCTATATTTTTGTTAGTTGATTGGGGAAATACATGGCCCATTTGATTTTGCCAGAAAGTTTATCTGTCTCTTATTGATGTAATCGATTGGAAAAAGAAAGACGAAGATAAGCAAAAAATTAATCTATTTATTGCTCGTGCCCTTGTATGACTTATGGCCGTTTCCACCAACTATTTTAGGGGAGCCCTAACGATAAGTATTCCCTAAAATGACATTTTTACATGGAGAAATGTCAGTTTAAGGTATACCTATCGTTAGGGCTTCCCTAAAAGAGTTGGTGGAAATGGCCATTAGTGGAGCAAATTTGGGACAAATGGAAACGCAAATTTCTAACTTTTTTAAATCGCCGCCATTTTTTCATTTATTTTTAATGCAATTTCATTAATTTTAACATTAGAATTGTCCTTATAGAGCTCGAAACGTTTCAAAGTGTTCAATATGAAAGTAAGACATTTCACTTTCAATTCTTTCCAATCCTACTACTTAACCAACTAACTTCACTTGTACTCCCTTGTCATTTAACAGTTGCATGTGTCAATCTATGGCCTACCTAATATAATAATATATATATATATATATAATATAATAATAAACTACTTTTTTAGAAAGTCTTTTGTCACTCTCATCGATAAAGACACTGTTGTTATAAAGTTTTAAGAATCTTAAATCTTACTTTTGAGAATCTAAAATTAAAGACAACGAATTCAAATATTTTGTGGACGTCGTCAGAAAATCTATTTTCGCAGAAGTCTCTGATAGTTTGCAAACTGTCAAAGACTTTTGTGAGAACAAACCTAAGCCGTTTTCTCGCGTCCACTTTTTTCAAAACAGGTTTGAAACGGGAAATGGTAATACCATCGCCCTTTTCGAAACTGTTTTGAACCAATATCAAAAAAGTGGATGCGAGGAAACGGCTCTATTATCGTCAAAGGGATTTGACCGAAACCTTACACCACACATGTTCTAGAAATTCTAGATTATCTCGATCATCTTCACTGAAATATAGGTTCTCTATCTCTTCAAGATATCAAAATTCAAGCCAAAACAGAAAATCTTGAGGTTAACCCAAGGTCTATTACGCTAACTTGAAGTGAGAGCGCAGGTTAACTTTTTCCGGGAATAACTTTCGAGTTAGCAGTTAACCCTGGATGAATAAACACTTGGTACAACTTTGACCCAGGGTTATTCCTAACTCATGGGGTAAACCGCTATTGATAAACCGGCCCTAAAAGAATTTTGATTATTCTGTTCAGATCTTAGATCTGACCATATTCACCCATTAAAACGAGTTTTTCATTTTCTGTTTGCCCATTAACAGTTTTCGTTTCAAAAATACAACTTGATCCATCTATGTGAGACAATTTGGCTGAATATTCACACACAAAGAAAAAACAACAAAGGGCAATCAGACAACCTAAAGAATAGATCCGATAATAAATCTGGAACTTTTGAAACTCGGCAACGGAAACAAAAAGTTATGACTATGTCTGGACGAAATGATATGTATATGGACGCCCCAGAGAGAATTGTTATTGCACGTCTAGGAAAATAATACTGATCGAAAATTTGTTGAAATGTTATTTATGTAGTACCTACTGTTATCGAATTTTGTCAATATAAATGGTTGCTTCTGGGCCTTTATTATTCAAAATGGTTATCCAAATGTAACCAATTATATTTGCACTGGAAATTACAATTCGACCAAACGTGAAGATTAATGAATCGAGTTAAACGCATTTGGCTATTTAGCGGTAATTTCAATGCACAATGAAGCGATTTATTATTTGTTTATTGATAAATATTATTAACGAACTTAATGAACTTGTTCATTCATCTTCAAATTGCAATCATTGTCCATCGCAAGGCATCAGACACAGGTATTTACAGAAAGGACTTAAAATTTAATGCCCTCCGCCTCTCGGAAATGATCCCTTTTATGTGCCAAATTGGCTTTAGCATCCCGGTATAGTTGATCTATGGATTTGACTGAACCAATTATTATACTCCTCGACAAACTCCCATTTTGTAAAATGAATAGACTTTATAGTGCACCCAGTGGCAGAACAATAAATAATAATCAAGAATTATCTATAAAATTTGATGAAATCAGAGGACAATTTTAGGTTTATATAAGAGCGATTCCCAGGGTTATTGTCCTAATAAAATCGACATTACAAGCGGCTCAATAAAATTAATGACGACGTAATCACTTGTTTACATCAATCAAGAACATCAAAAGAAAAAGCAAGTAGGTACGTTGCTTGCATTGCAATATATGCTTTGAAAGGGATTCTTTTGATAACCGAACCTGTGGCTTGTTTGATATTTCATAGTCAATCAATCCGGCTCCAGTTTAATTTATTCAGAGTATCAAGTTTTGCGAAATTGGGATTGGTGTTTCAAACTCAATCACATGGCCAAATTTGACTATAGATTGACGAATCATCATTTTATTCCAATTAAAATACATATTAGTAAATATTGTGTCTAGCCAAATTTTTCGAAATTACGAACCTCACTGTGTTTCCCAAAAAGTTACTAGGATAGTTTGAAATTAATATTATAATCCATGGGTCCAGCTCCATGACAAACTTCGGTAAGTTTGTTATTTGCAGAGATTAGGGCTAATTTTAGGGGGCTCAACGACATTGGTCCCTAAAGTTTTAAGTACCGCTACAATGGCCGTATATAGTTAGTTATTATAAATGAATTTTTTTTCTCTATGATCTTGAAGATTTAATTTATTCAACCTTATTTAGCAAATCCCTAATAATTTTGTTCTTGCTCATCAATTTGCAAGAACAATGAATTTTTTCG